TTTTGATTTCTGAGTACTCAATTTAAAGTGTGATACATTATTAAATTACTACCGTCTTGTTTTATGATGTGTAATAAATTATTGAATTTGAAATTTGATCGATACTTTAGTCAACACCACCGAAATATATTATTAAAAGATGATAAAATTCAAAAATATCATATTTTCTTCCTAAATGTGTGTAAAAATTTCCGTCTCATTTTTATGAATCTATTGATTTCGACGATTGCTAGTGTCGCGTAATATTGAATGCGTTTAACTCTAAGTTTCGATACATTTTTTTTCAATTTTTTTTTTTCTTTTCTATTTGTTGGTTTGAAAAAAATGCACTTTTCACAGAAAAATTGAAAAGGCCTGATTTTTGTAAATCGAAATTGATAGTGTTCAATCAAAATCAAAATAAACTGAATGAAATTGCGTTTGAAAACCGACTCACCTCTTTTTTCTTGCAAAATCCTTTGAAAAAATTGCACAGCAACATGGTCATTTAGGATGGATCGTAGTCCTTATGAATTATTCGCTTTGAATCAACTATAATTTATTTATTTTCTTTCAAACAAAAACAAATCACTGTTTTTTTTCTTCTGAAACTATCACTCAAAAGGAATAAACTATAGAATTTTTGCCAGTTCCTTTTTCCAAATGAATAATACAACCGATAAAACCATTAAAATTGATACCGTATTTCGTTTTCCAACCAACTATTCTTTATTCTGTTTGTTTCTGTTTTTGGTTCAAAATTTTGTTCAACGGAACTGGACGAGAATCACAAAATATCGTGTTGTATTGTCGGCGAGACGCCACCAAATGAAATTCGTGTCGTATTTCCCAATGCCAGAAATCGGAGTGAATACTGAATGAAATGTGTTCTGTGTATTGTGGGTGGTAGAGAAAGCAACTTTGTCCGAAAAAGTGGATAGCAATCATTTTCTGTGAAACATGTTTGGCGTGTGGTTTGCCATGAATAAAGGAAAGGGCAGCATAATTACTTGAAAAAAAAAGCATGATAGCAAAAAAACCAATCGCAAATGGTTCTTGGTGGCATTATTGAAGCTTAATGTGGTGTCATGCGGTTGCCACGGTCGGTGGTATAGGTACGTGGTGTACGCTTATCCAATTTTCCGACATGAAATCGAGCATTTATCGATTCGCGGTGGAAAGGGACACTGAGTGTACACAGTACAAGTTAACCTACATTTAATATGCGTTTCCCGCAAGGAATAGCCGGTCGAAAATCTAACACCTTGCCATGGCTATTCTCATCATTGCTCTTGTGACGGAATTGAAATACACTCGCGGTTATTACATTCGGTCAAACAGTCGCTTTTTCCATTTTTTATGGAACTCCACATAAGTTTATGATTGTTTTCTCTATGAAAAGCTGCAATTTGAATAATAATCGATGAAGAATCGCTTCAACCGTGGCTCAACGTGCACTAATATGACCTTTCCCGATAGTTTGACAGAGATTTCAATGGAGTTTATTTATATATCGGAACATCGAAACAGCCAATAAAAGATTCCGAACAGAAAACTATCGGCATCCACCATACAATTTATGCTAATGACACATTGCAAAGCCATTTCAGAGGGCCTCAGGCCATTGTTAATTATGCATGCGAGACATTGTTTCTCATTGTTTGACTTGACCACCAACATTTATGTCAATCGCACAAATGTAATCACACACACACACACGAAACGAAAATAGTTTTTCTTTTTCGATTAAATAACTTCATGTTTGCATGATATGAAATGTTTACTCTTGGATGGATAAATGGTAAGTAAACACCTAGTAACCAACGCACTTGAATGTACTGAACAATCATGGAGACAATTTCGATAGAGACAACGTCATAAAATACACGAAAACGCAGCCACATAAGTACAAATAAGCCATGAAAAGCTAACTGAATGTACGTCATCAGATGAATGGCTATCGTCACATGCATGAGCAAATACACACAATATTGATAAATGGAAGCCCGTCAGCTATAAATCAAAGACAGAAATGTACAAAAGAACATCTTAGGGAATAAAAGGTAAGGATCTTTTCTGCTTTGAAGCCATTATCATATAATATTTCTTGCAGGAATTTCAAAAAAATGAACATTCATGAAATAATGCGATGTTTCTTATTTCCATTATTAATACTGATTCAATTTCAAGTTACAAATTTCCACGCCCTTGGCGTTTTCCATTTGCATTCAAAGGACGCAAATCAATGTGGAAAATATCGTATTCAAATTCAATTGAAAATTCTTGGACCTGAACATTGTTCAATTTGCATTGATTGAATTCCAGCCTTGAGAAATTGGCTCAAACAACTGAAAAACTGGCTCCAATAAACGTGCAATTGGGGTCAAAATGACATTTTCGATTTCGCAGCCATAAATATTTCGACAAAAAACGTGAACTGAAAAACGTTTCGCAGAAATCCATCATAGTCATCAAAAACTAGCGGAAGAAAAATTGCCCCAAAGTCATTGTCCTTAATAATTCTGGGTAATTTGAAAACGATTATACGCAATGCCATGCGGTTGATCAAGAATTACCGAGAAAAAAAACACCCAAAACATGTTGAATAAATTACTGGATGAAGTTTATTCAATTTTTGATTCTACGAAGCTTATGGTATGGACAATACAGCCCAAACCACATCGAGTGGAATGAGCGAAGACAAGAAAAGCATGACTTGCCGAACAAATCGAGCACGTGAACCAAATGGGAGAGTTTGTGTTGTGTTCACCGTCATCCGTTCCACGATAACAAGAAAATGTTTGTCGTAAAGCAAAGAGAAAAAAACCGAATCTATTTTCACACAACAAAATACAATGGTTGTTGGTATGCTAATTGGCAGTCGGAATTAATGGTTCAACGCCAGTAGTAAGTAAGTACCGTATGAACGACGCGCCGTTCAAAAGAGCCTCACAATGCATACTCAGAAAATGTTTTTCCGATTGCTATTGAATCGGAATGGTTGTTTCACCGGTTGAAACAAGTTTTCTTTTTCGTTTTGGAAGTGCGCCTGTAACGTGTCGCATATATCAAGGCATTTCAGAGCCATTTATTTTTTTTCTAGCGATTTTCCAAAAACCGACTAAATGAAATTTGTTTTCTGCTGTTCGGCTTTGCTGGATTTTTGCTCGGTAGCTCAACGACGACGACGATGATGAAAAAATGTCTTTATTAGATTTGCATTCGCATGTACGTGGAATTTGGCGTTACAAGTCCTTGATTTCAATGCAACCGTACTTAGATTTATGGGCCAATTTATTGGAATGTTTGTCGAGGCACACCAAGCGTAAATGTGTGCAAAGTTGCATTGTGTTGTTGTGTTTCGCAAAGTTGCCTCTTCATCGCGCGGGTTGAAAATGCTTTCGCGTGAGATTTGTTTGCCGATATATTCTGCGGTATGTTGTTCCATTCCACGAGTGCCTGTATGCAAAGCATTCGATCAATTTGCACGGGGCACACACAAAAGCACATTCCAACAATTCTTTTACAGTGCAATCGAACAAATTTTTCGTGCTCATTGCGAGTCTCGTGCGCGCACGCCATTCGAAGAAAGGTGAAAAAAAGTGAAACGATACGAAAAAATTGATACGAAATCGAAGTGCACGAAACACACGAACTAATTCCATTTACACAGAGAGAGAAACAGATAAGGATGGCCCACAATCTCAATGAAAATGATAAATTTCGTTGTAACCGTGCGGTTCAACTTAATAAGGATATCACATTTGAATCAAGTATATCTCAATAAACCGCTAGTTGAGCAACGTGCGCAAACTCATTCGCTCAACCACAGCAGCAGCATCAACAGCCGAAGCGAAAAAAGCGGGAAAACAAGGTAATTAGAAGCAGAAAATTGCTTGTATTATCAACCGAAGTGAACTGTTTGGAAATTAGACTCGGTCTCAAGGTGATTTATGATAGAGTCGAGAGTTGCCGATCACGAGAATACACAAGAAGAGAAAGAGTTGATCGATTGCGACCCGTAGAGTCACGTAATTGATGCCCATCTTCAACTGAAATGTAATTGCAGGTTTCCTTTTGATTTATCAGACCCAAACAAAGGAAATCGCATACAAACGCGATTGCAGTTTACCGTAAATCAGAGCCAAAGCCAGGTCCAAAGCCGGCTGTGCGCCAGTGAACATGACGAGGAGAAGACGAAGCAAATTGAATGGAAAAAAAACCCGAATACAGTTTATTTCCTACTAGTTATGGTTGCATTCGCCAACTCGTTATCAAGTTGTGACGGGCCGTCATAAATTGACAAACATATGGCAATAATGTTCTATTGTTTTCCACTTATTTTTACGATGGTCCGAGCTTCTGCGTCGGTTTGTGCAGCCGGTTTTCCATTCCATATTATCTTATTCGCGCATCTTCTTTTCGTTTGATTCGCAATCAATTTTAATTTATAGTAATTGATTGATTGCATTCTGCTTTCGAACAATTTGTTCGATGTCAACGGATCCATCGGATGGAAGACGATACTGTCGCATAAAGCACTGCTTTTATCGATTCGCAAAAATCACACGGACGGAATTTGCAAGACGAATGCAAATTGGGTTTTTTTTTCTCAGCTGATTGCGATAGAATTGTTAAATATTGCATTCAACGATTTTCGAGAGAATCTTAAGAAATTCGAAATTTCGATCTGGAAAAAAGGAGGAAAAAAGCGAAAAAACAACAACACAAACGTAAACAAAGTTTCAGCAAATTGAATAAACACAATGGAATGGGACAAATCAACGCAAGAACATAAAAAAAATAGTCAAAAAGTTGATGCTTCGTTGAACACACGTATGACCAAATCACATCAATGCTAACGTTCATTTCGCTCACAGGGCCCCGACATAGGCACTTCGATATCATTTCATCTGGCACATGGAAACGGCAACACAACATCGCCTAGGCATTGTTTTATGCTTTCCAAGAGTGTTTTGCTCACCATCGCCGTCCAATTGAAATCGAAATAAAAGTTAGAGAGAACGAGCGAGAACAGAGCCCGGAACACATAAACTGGCTGCAGAAAGATAAAAGAAGACGTATCACGATCACGACACAAGTGACATTTGAGGTAATAATAAAATAAAATCCCATTCGCAATGGAAATACCAACGGACCCGCTCTCAGTCCGATTTGGTGTGTGTATTTATGTTTGTGGAAATTAAATGCAATCATTTTGCACTCACAATTTTGCGCTCGCGCGCTTCACGCTCCATCATCGTCAGTGTATCGTTTCAACAGAAACCGCAGCAGCAGCAGTTTCATGACTACCAGAATCATTCGTTAGTAGCACTCACTGCTGTAATGACAATGAACATCAAAAAAGGGAGAATTGAAATTGAAAGAGAAAATCGATGATAAAAAAAGCGGTAGCAGTAACAATGACAACAAACCATAAGGAAACATACACCGGTACATCAACACTCTTTCTAGCGTGCGCGTTCGCGCGATTCGCATTAGATCGAAAATCATTGAGTTTTGTCTTCTTCATCGAGATTGGCGGGTGAGAGCAGAGCGCGAGCGTACATCACATAGACACAATCGAGAACCACAGGCAAATTGAACTGGCGAGCCGCCAACTGCAACTGAGAAATGCATCAGATGCGACGAAGACGAAGCGAAGCGTATGAAATGGAAAAGAATGATGATGGTGAAGTCTCAAACATTTTACCTCAATGCTTTTTCTCTTTCGCATTCGTTTGAGTTCGATGCCAAGTGCCTTCTTTTTTCTTTCGCTCTCTCCCTCTCCCACTATTCTTCTCTCGTTCGTGTTGTTGTACTCGGTGTTGGTTTTATTTACTTTTTCTTCTCTCGCTTTCATCGTTGTTGCCGATGTTTTTATTGTAGCTGGTGGTGGTTCTTTTTTCTCTCGTCTTCTTCACTCTTCACCGACCGACGACTCGAATCTCGCGGGGATTACAAAATAAGAAATCGGTGAGGCACAATCAGATAGTTTACGGACTTTAAATTGATCAGACGTTTGTTGTTTCGTTTTTTCATGAAAATGCGAAAACCAATTCAACGATATTACAAACGTCTCGGAACGTGAACGAACGCAAACAAAATACACACTATTTGTTTTAACGTGAAACAATTGGATAAAACAACTGAACAACAGTCAGTTGTGCAGCCAGAACATTTGTTAAGAGTAGTGCATTTTGTGAAATTGTTCTTAAGCTAATTTTTGTGCCAATCGTTTGGATGTTTAATTCAGTGAAAGTTTGGTTGCCAAAAAAAGGCTAAATTTTTATGAATATTTCATTTTTCGGCTGAAGATTAGTTGACTGAAAACAACGACTTAAAGAAGGTGAATAAAAACTACATTTAATGAAATGTTGTCACATTACGAAATCGTGTGACAGGCAACACGAAAAGCCGCTTCGAAAAATTCTCAATTCTCACATGCTAATTGATCGAGTGCTAAATTTGGTGTTGAATACATTTTTCCATTCATAATTTTCATGGTTTTCACAATGAATTCGACAAGATGAAGACAACAGAATATGTCAAAAACGAATTGAATAATTGAATTACAATGCAAAAGGGAAAAAAAATTGGTACGTGTTATAACGCACGACGAGATCGAAAAAGACACAATGCCCAAATAAAGCTAGGTGATGATTGAATGAATAAAAAAGAAGAGTCAATTGCGGAACGAAGGCTCATTTCAAGTGACTGATCAATTTCCATTGTTCGGTCCGATGTTGGAATTTATCTCTCAATTAGCTCATTTATTCGGATTATTCGGACCAAGTTGCAATGTAAATACAATTGAAGTCGGCTAAATAAGGCAACGGCCGGCCAGCCGGCAGGCCAAACTCGCGCACAAGCAAAACATCTCGCAATCGACTTGTGCGAATGATAGAGTGGAATAAGATGGAGGAGAAAGAAAAAATGTCAGTCGAATCGCGTGAAAATAAAATCATTCGTGAAAAGGAGCGAATAAAAACCAACGGTACGTAGGCATGTTGAACGTGGTTCCCTGTATTGGGCGCACCGTTAATAATCGGTAGGCACAAACACACATTGAGAAATGAGTATCTCGCCATAAAGCAAGGCAATCGATCGTGGTTGTCGCTTTTCTTCGCGTTTCAATTGTCGCTTGAATATCGTTCAGTTTGTGATTTTTTTTAAATTCACTGTGGCCGTGTGCAGCATAGCCGATTTTCATGGGCAACTTGGCAGCAATGCTGAAATATTTGTCTCCTTCTCTTCCTTTCTCTATCTTTGCGTTTCTCTCTTTCATTCCGTGTGCCTTTCGAAAATGTTAATCATTCGGTTTTGCAAATGGTCAACGTCATTTGACCGTGTGCACTTCGATTTTTCCGTTGCTCGGATTCTTCGAATGTGCTACGTTGAATTCGGTATGAGATCTTGACTAAAAATCAAACTGTACAAAATCATTTCGACCCAAGAGTGGCCGACGTCGTCAGCACCGTCGCCGCCACTGTAGCCGTTGCACTCAACACAAGAACCGTTCAGGAGCTGATGCACGTTTCAATGACGACGCAGATGCATTTAAGAAGAAAAAAAACTTGATATTCTCCCCAACTGTAATCATTCAGAATTAAATAAATATATCTATAAAACCATTGGTTGGGATTTTGTCTTTGTCAACCTTAGTTCTGCTGCTACGGTGCGCTGTTCAATATTGAGAGAACGCGAGAAAAAAGAACCCAATCCGGAGCAATACACAAAAGAATTTGCACGACGATCGAATGCGACAATTGGTTCATCGATTTCATTTGGCCCAAAGTCGAGTCGCGACTGCAAGTTTTTGCACTCTGTCTTGCTGGCTGTTGCGCTGCCATTCTACCAATACGAGTAACACCAGAAGTTGAAGCAGTTATTTTTATTTTCATTCATTTAGCGTCATTTTATTTTGCCACGAAACGAAATGTCAACAAATCAGTTTTTTTTAAAATTGCGAATGGGCTAAATGCGAACTCTCTTGTATTGTGTGTGGTGATAAACTGCCGTGTCATTTCTTATCGACCAACCCCGAAATTCAGTTTACCAAACTGAAATTGACGTTTTTTATGCCTTTTATTAACTTATTCTGTGCATGTGACGGAAGTCATTTCGAATTCAGTTAATGACAACAACGGTTATCTACTGGTTAATTATAAATTTGTGTCAATTACTTGAATTGCCCGTGACTTTTTTTAATGTGCTTGCCAAAGCCACTTGATCGCAGCATGTTCTTAAAAAGAACTAATAGTTTATTTGAAGTAATTTCGTTTTTCAACCGCTTTTTTCACATTTCCATTTTTAAATACGTACAATTAATCGCTGGTGCTCATTAAATCGTGAAATTATACAGTGCGGTGATTTCAAATCGATTATGGCCAGTTAAAAAATGCTTTCCAAGTGAAATTCCATCGGTTTGGATTTATGTAGCTAACAATTCACGAAAGTCAACCGAGCGATAAGAGACTTGTTTTATTGAAGCATAAAGTTGAAGAAAGAGAATAGATGGCTAAAACCTACGTTTTTTGATCGGCACGAAAAAAGATCCCTTGCCCAAAGCCAATCAATTCAAACGGAATTCCAATTAAAAAAAACTGGTATCAATCAATTGATTAGACCACTTAATCAACAAACGGATTCTATGACTCCAAACCGTAAATCTCTTGCGACCAATTGCGAATTTGCCCAGCAATTGCCCATTGCTGAATTCCACAAATGCAACCAGTGACCAAATGACGATGCAATTAACACTCATTTTTTACAAATTGACCAAACGTGTTGAAACCCATTGAGTTACTGTTATGTCTATCACCGGGTTATAGGCACTGAAAGCTTAGTTCAAACTGTTGTTTTACAAATTGAAAAGGTTTTTATATTTTGAACATAACATCAATCTATAGACAATGAATGTTGAAACTTTCAATTCGAAATGAACATTGGTTTCGACCTCGTGTCATTTTCTGACTTCTGTACCTACACCGAACTCCGTTTTCGAGTTTTTCTTTTGAAGAAAATCTTGAAAAGAATTCCGATAAGATTACTACAGTATTAGATTTTGGTATGTTTTAATAAGGTATACCCAACGTGGGTTAATAAAGGTTGTCATAAAGGCTAATCTAGCGTGATAGCGTCTTAATCTTTTACCAATTTGTACTAATAACCTGCGGCCTACATCTATCCACTTTCATATATCATTCATACTCCTTAAAGGTGAATCAATCAAGTGGTGATATTTGAGGCCCGTTATAGTTGAGCAACAATAAAAATGAAAAAAATATTCGAACATTCTGCGAAATAATATCATAGACATGCGGTAGAAATAATTGTGACTTGGTGTGATTATCTAACGTATTGATGGATTCTAGAAATGATTTTATGGATTCACCTGAACTGAATTAGCAGAAATATAAAAAAAAGCCAGTATTTATTTTATCATCTAAGAGTATCGATTCCAGACGATAAAATTCTTCAATAAATCAAAATGCTGGTTGGATTCATTGAGAAATTTGTTTTTTTTTTCTAATAATTTCATTAGATGCATTCTTTACGATTTCATTAAACACAGTTTATTCATAACATTTCCGTTGAAAAAACAGGTTTGAACAAACATTTTCTTTGGATTTGGAATCGTCGACTCGGATCATAAAAGTCGTTAATTAAGTTTATATATCGATATTCCGTGTGTTCGATAGAGACGTCTTCGGATCAAGTGAATGGAAATTAATGATGGCATCGAGTTTGAAATCAATTTTGTCCTTTCACAATGCATTCAGAGTCTTCTTCGGAAAAATATTCTTTACTTGGATGTTCATTAAAAATAAGATCGATTATGTCTATGCCATTGAAGCGTTAATATTTTTGTCTTGTTCGGCTAAAATTTGCAAAGTGGTTGAGAGATAATGATTTATAAGTCAATATATCGCACGTTGGTTGCAATGGTATTAATCAATAAAAGTGACATTATATAATCAATAAGTAATTGAGGCACCAGCCAACCAGCCAGCCTTTAACATACGCCAAACGTGCTGTAATTGAGTCATAACTGGTCAATTTATAAGCTGGTTGTAATAAGCCGGTGTGTTAATTAAGATTGATGACAGA